TTAAGATGGGTGGACTTCAACTCCCAGAATGGCTGGCTGGGGAATTCTGGGAGTTGAAGTCTACCCATCTTAAAGTTGCTGAGATTGAGGAACCCTGGCTTAGATCATAGTTTATAAAAACCTATGCAAAATCTAGCTCCAGTGGTCCCTAGTGGGCTTCAAAATTTCCAGTTCCAACTCAGAATTGGAGTTGGGTCTTTTCTTACCTGGCTTTCTGCTGGTGGGGACAGCTCCAGCAGGATTAAAGACATAAAGCAAAAGCTGGCCCCCTCTTCTTTCCAAAAGCCCACCCAAGACAAGAATCCTTCCACTCCTGATTGGTTCCTTGGAGTTTAATTTTTATGGACCTGTTTACATGGATTGACAGCTCAGCTTCCCCCTTTTTTAACTCAGTGTCCAAGAGCCATTACACATGGCTTTCTGTGTGGTATGTGACCCAGCCCGTACATTTTCAGCCACATAACACACTGTTGTTTATTGCAATATCACCTTAGTCGTCTTAGGTGAACTCAGTTTCTGGACACACCATAGTAAAATGCTATACATTTCACCCCAATGATGAGCCTCATAAAAAAAAAACCCTGCTGCTTCGACTTTTAAGTGTCTTTCAATATTTCCCAAAGAAAAATGCTTTAAAATAGAAGCTGGACAGATATTAATTTCTGCACTTGATATATTTATGTGCATTTAAAGTGTTTCTCATCTTTGCTGTGTTTTATCCAGTTAGTCAACCTCATCTCAGAATGAAATAAATATCCCTATCCTTGAGCTTATTCAACTGAAGTCCACAATGGAGGTTTCAAACTCAGCAATAGAGGACTTCTTTCAAGCAAAAACATTAAAACAGGATAGCCTGTCATGCGAAGTGGTACTATTCAAAGGAAACCTGTAACTCATGCTTTTTTTCATTAATGTATGTATTTAAGACTTTATGTTTCTGGATTGGACAAAAACTACAGTGACTGAATTTTCAAACATAGCCTCTGTTTTCTGGCATGTCCACAAGAGACTTAGGTTATTTATAGACGACTTCTGGGAATTTCATTCCAGCTAAATTTCATCCCTCCCCTACACCCCCCCCCCAATCTATAGCAGATGTTGACTTCCTGCCACAATGTGCACTGTGCACTTCAAAGGCAAAGAGAAGTTTGTTCCCAAGTCTGAGGGTTGGATTGGAATACCTAATTTCAACTTTTGTACTACATCTACAATCCTGCAGCAAAAAGAATCCGGAAACACTGTTTTTCTCAGTTTGCAAGAAACAATGAATCACATTTACCCTAGGTTGTGCATTCAACACATTAGTTTATGTGTGATATGGCATGTGAACCCAGAATATTGAATAAAAAAAGGGAGTGCCGTATGATGTAGAAAATTATTGTATGTACAATTTGTCAAAACAATGTATGATATTGTACACACAACTACTTCCTTGTACTTTCTTAACATCAACATGGGAAGATTCTGCTTCTGCAACATAGTGTTTTTATCAAAGTGGGTTGCCTGTTTGTAATTATACAAACTTGGGGCTCAGACGAATTAGCATTTCAAACCATCTCAATTGAGACAATTAAGACTAACTGCTTTATATAACACAGCAGTGAGTGAGTAAAATGGAAACAGGAAACTCTGCCACTCATATATGGTGGCAAATGACCCAATTTTGGCACTACCTTTTTCAAAACTAATTTAGATAAGATCCCCTGCTCCCATTCACGTTTTTAACTATCCCCAACTAGCCCAAAATGGCAAATTAATTCTGCCATCTCAAAGGAATTGAGATAAAGCCAAATCTAACACTTTGCATTCTCTTTTAGTATTGGTGACAAGCAACTCTGCAGATCTACTGCATAGGGAGTAGCAAGAGCATCAATCGAGATATGATTTTATGAGGGTCAACCAAGCACATATGTGTATACTTCCGACTGGTGGGAGGAGCCAAATGAAAGCAAAAGAAGCCATTTTGTGATTTATTATTACATGATATATTACGTGATCCCTGCTTCAGCTAACAAGTCAGAATTGGACCGCAGGGTTCCCTACTGCTTTCTTATCCAGGCTTCCTCAGAGTGCAAGAAGTCAGAGTTTTCAGTATGGAACTACTGATAAGACAAGACTTTGTTTAGATACACCCACTGGCAGGATCAGACAGCAGAGTGTTGTACATTGGCACGATCCCAATCGCTGCTGGGTCCAAAGTGGGTCTATATGAAATAATGAAAGGAAAAACTAAGGCCAGTTCTTCTCACTTATCAGTCATCCTCAGCATTGCCCCATCTATCTGTGCAGCAGCTTCTGTTGTTCCATTTACTGCATCACTGCGGTATTATAAAGAAAAGTACTGTAAGTTCTGGTCAAAATGGGAGGTGTGTGTGAGACCAATGATACAAAAGCTGCATCAGCAAGTTCTGCGAGAAAAAGGGACAGACAGCGTGACTGTAACTTGTTAATAAAAACATTTATTTTTCAGTTTATACAGAACCATCCAAAGTTTGCAACGGAAGCTGATGCTTATGCAGGCACTTACCCTGTGCCTTCAGCTTAGGTGGAGGTTTTTTTCTTTTTTCTTTCCTTTTTTTTTTGTTTTTTGAGGTTATAGGACAAAGGGTTTCACACAAACACAGAAAAACAAACATTGGTAGGAGTGTATGAAGTCCTTTCTAGAGAGGAAAGGAGGCCTGGAGGCGGATTCTGTTTGTCACCATGGCTCCTCTCAAAATTGTGGCAACTGATTTAATGCCACCTTGCTGCATGTTCACAACTGTGATTATAGAAGAGTTACCAATATTTTAGGCAACCTCCACTCCACTTTTTCATTTTCACCACTCTGACACAGAAGTTAAGGGGGGGGGGGAGAGAAAATAGGAGAAAGGGGGTTGCAACGCAAGGTGATGTTCTGTTCCTGGCTAAAGTTCACTATAGCTCTGATTTGAGAAACAAAGCACCATCTCACAAAAAATCAGGAACTGGGGAGGAACTGTCCACCTGGGAGAAGAGTGTGTGCCCAAAGGGAATGAAGACAGTAAAGTGTTATGGTAGTTTGAGGAGAAAAAAGCCAATTGCCCCTCTTTGTCAGACAAAGAGGTAAGTGATACTTGTTCAACACACTAGTATGATGGCTCAAGCCTCAGCTCTGCCGGCATCTTCTTTACTGTCTTTTAAAAACATAAGTCCGCTGCTTCACTGTAACAGAATAAAAATAGCACAGAAGCGGAGGAAGGCTGGACGTCTTGAAGGAGAGGACTCTCTCACCCACCGACAACACAGCAACAACCCAAACTGGCTTAAAAGGAGCATATTGTTCAAATGCAGGACACCCCACCTATGAGGAGATGACAGGTGGTACAACACAGCATGTGGTATGACATGATTGTAGAAAGGGACAGTATCCTCTACTTCTGGTCTACAACTGGGGACAATAAAAAAGAATCTGAACTGGAAAGGCGCACGCTCTCAAGCTTCGGGCATCAGCTCAGGTTGGGAAGAGCTGCCTGTGGAGAAAGGGACACGGGAGGGAGGCCTTGCCCTTCTGAATCTGACTTTTGGTGATATTTAAGGTAATGAGTGGAGGGGGCAATAAGAATCTAGCTTTATCTGCATTTATTTCATAAATAACCTGGAAAAAAAGTGATGGCCAGTGCCTCTAAGGAAGGATCTTTTCAAGGCCCTTTGAACAAACACAAAAAGTTGCATTGTCTCTATCATTCCCTCAATGGTTC